CCTGTTCTTTCGAATCCATCAAACTCGCCGTAACCACTAGAGACGTAAAAAAAATCATCGAATTTATCATCATAGATCTACCCGCTCCATTTAACGCCATCCTCGGGAGACCATGGCTATACAACATGAAAGCAGTACCATCAACTTACCATCAATGCCTGAAGCTCACTACGCCGAGAGGAATCAAAACCATAAAAGGAAGTCAGAAGAACTCCAGAACATGCTATCTCTCGAGCTTCAAAGTCATCAAGCCAAACCCGTAAGACTGGCCAAGAAGCCTCAAGAAAAACAAGAATCGTACTCATGTACACGAACAATACGACCCTAATTATCAGGTAAACAATCGAACTACGTTTAGACTTGATCCCTCGACGAGGGTACGTAGGCAGCTCACGACCTGAGTTCAGTCACTCACCACAAACCAATTTCTCGCAAGATCAAATCCGAATCAGGAAACAACTAATCCACACAGATACATCATTTTCTGTTATGTAAAAACGCAAAGTTGTGTACAAAGAACCACTTCTGATAATAAGTAAAGATAAACCTTCACTTCTACAGTTCGATTTAACTGCATGAAGAGACCCTGATCAAGTTTATGGAAACAGCTAGGATCCCGCTAAAAACACAGCGCTGCACAATAGTAAAATCATTACTCAAACACAATTTATCGACGCGATATTTATCAAAGCCGATCTACGACCGCAAAAATAAAAACAAGGATCGCACGCTCACAGTAAAATGAAATCAGACGAACCACTATAATTCATCCTTTATTAAGATCGCCAGACAGAAACAAAAGCAAAAAGGGAAAAAAAGAAAAAATAGAAGAAAAAAAATTATATATATATATAACTAATCATCAGCATCGAACTCGCCATCTTCTTGCGATCCCTACTACGCCCATGCTCGCCTCCAGATTCATCTCCACCAGGAGGAACCTTAGAGAAGAAATCCTCGGGTAAATCCTCAGAAATCAGAGGAAGTTCCAACTTCCCATCCAAAAAATCCGACATCGCTGCTACATCGAACTCAGCTCCTAAATCGACCTCCTTAGCTCGAAGATGCGATAACTCGTCAGAAGCGAGGAGATTATTATTCATTATCTCTTTAATGAGTTCGATGTTAGCCATGACCTCCTTCAAACGAATCTCTTAATCCGCTGCAGCCTTCTTCTTCTCCCATTTCTCTTTCAAAGACATCAGCACATCCAAATAACCGTCGGCTAAGGTTTTCCTAGCATCATAAGTCGCACGACAAAGTTCATCCGCATGACTTTGGAAAACCCGAAGACGAGCCTCGAGAGAAGCAGCATGATTCCCCAATTTCTCAGCCGCTGTCAATTGAGCGACACTGATACACTCCATGTCCTGGGCCGTCTTCAAACTAAGCTTCAGCTCCCAACGACAATCTTGACCTCGTAAAGTTTGTCAGCCCGAGGAATATCTCGCAAACGTCTTTCCAAAGTCGCCGCGAACTCGTTTTTAGCCTCTATGGCCTAAAGAGCGCATCAGGAATACGCATAAAAAGAAAGTAAGCATCAAAGATCAAAGGGACAAACCAACCAACCTTAGCATGAGCGACCACCATCTTTACATAGGCGTCGCGCTCAGTCATGTTCCGCAACGAAGGAAGAGGACACCCCGCCGGCTTGAAGTGCCTAACCAAGTGAGCGACGCTGTAGGGATCATCCGTGATCAGACAATCTTTAACATAGGAAAATTGCCAGTGAAACGGTTTCGCGACCGCACCTTCACTCGCGGGGCCAGATTGAGGATCGTTCCCTGAAATCTTTGCTTTCTTTGGAGGACGATCACGCCCGTCCTATTCGGACTACCAGAACTCAAAAGAGTTACGGTCTTCGGTTCTTCAGTATCTTTTGCTTCAGATCGAGCCGCTACACAAGGAAGTCGAGGCTCCTCGCGAAGGACCTTGGTGAGCGCTTCATTCACATCGCCAGAACGAATCTGTCCTGCTCTATTGTTCCGGTTACGAATTATTTTAAACTCATGGGAACTTATTTTCTTCGATGTCATGATTGGCGATAGAAAGAGAGTAATTTTTAAAAATACGAAGATGGAAGGAACGACTTCGACATTTATAAAAGAGAAATAAACATAACAATATCAACTGGAAAGAATAAAATCTCAATAATTTGGAGAAGAAAAAAGATACCATCCATCCGTGGTTATCAACAAAGCATTCGAAAAGCAAAACAAAAATAACAACACGAGATATCCGACTGAAAATAAAAAAAAGAAAGAAAAAGAGCTAAAATCTAAGAATCAGCCCCGTCCTCAGAAGAAGATTCTCCAATCACCGAATCACCGGAAATCTCGGGAAGATCCAGATCCGAGATAGTCCAATCCGCAACTGCAACCAGTTCGACGAGACCTTCACAATCCTTCTCCATCTCCTTAAGACGAGCCAACTCCTCATCTATAACCAATCCACCGTCCTTGATCTCATTGAGTAGGTCGGTCTTCGCAATCACCTCCATCAACTGGATTTTGGTGTTGGTTTCCTTATTCTAGTCCAACCATTTCTTCTCCACGGGACATGACCTCCTTGTAACGGTCAGCAATCTCACGACGCATAGCACGAGATTCGCGACAGATGTTTCGCTCCCTCTCCGCAAGGAATTCCGCAACCATTGTCTTTTGATTGGCGATCTCGGTCTCAAATACAATCCTCTCTTCACGAGCCTTCCTCCTTTCATCCCTCAAGAATGCACTTCCCTAGTCTTCTTCTTGAGATCTTCCTTAACCTTCCGAAGTGGTTCCCTGAGACTCTTCGCTTCAGCCCGCAACCTCGCTAACTCTCTCTCTCACCATGGCCCTCAAATATTCTGAGGAACTCGTCAACGGCGACCATAACCTACAAAGTACCAAGAATGTAAGAACGAGATTGATTTACTAAAAACATGACTGAAAAGAACATAATAAACCTTGGAATTGGCGTCCGTTATTTTAGCATACGCCTCCCTCTCCTTGAGAGAAGCCGAAGGAAGAACAGATGGACTCAGAGCCGATGTATCGCGACCTCGAAGCGAAGAAATATCTCGCGAGGTCGGAGATGCAATTCGTGACAATTGTCGGCGCTTGCGGTCGTTGGCAGTAGAGTCCTCCTCAGAATCAGGACTCAGAGAGATCGGGGATCCCCCCGTTCCAGAAGTCCCCTCGACGTAAGAAACTAGAACTGGGATCAAAGGCAAATTCTCGAGATCTCTGCTCCCCGCGACAGATCTCCGGTTCCTGAACGATGACCTCCTGACCAACTGTCTATCTGATCTGGCGGAAGAAGGAGGACCACTAGAGGGTTCCACGATATCCTTGAGCTTAATTGAGCTGCTGGTAATAGCCGGCGCTTGATTGATTCCATCCGACAGCAAAAATCGGCGCGGACTTGTTCGCGATCGAAAGACGACCAGTCCGGACGATCTCATCGCAACATCTTTAACATACCTCGGAGCTCATTCGACATCGCAGAGCTCTCAGAATGCACTAAAAACCCTTAAAGCGACTTTAGAAGTCAGATATCAATTATAAAAATACAGTATATGATAAAAGAACCAGAGAAGTCAGAACAACCTATATCGTCGGACCAAAGGAGAGGAATACTTGCTAAGTCAAAATCACCCACTGATAAGTGATCGACCTTGACAACAAAGAATCCTTCTCGTCAATCTCGATCGCGGTATGGAATCCCTTGGATAACATGGCGTCCTATGCACAGCGACATAAGGAAGGTTCTCGGACTCTGATTATTCCGCTTCAACAAGCATAAGTGGCGCAGCTCCTCTTAACCAAAACAAAACCTTCTTCAAGAGCTCTAACCACGAGTGCAAAGAGGTGCCTCAAGAAGTTTGGGCACATCTGAGTGAGAGATATACTCAATTCAGCCACGATTTCAAGGATTGGTCCAAGAATCGGGAAGAAAAGACCGCAAGATTTATAAAACGAGAGATATGCTCCGTAAAACCCATCACGAACAGTTTCAGGGGTCTCAAGCGTGGTGGCTAGTTTGAGCTTGACGCCCTGATCGACACCATATGTCGTATACAAAGCCTCAAGATGATCAGCAGTGGTCGTTGGAAGATGAAAAGAAAACGATGTATCCATCTTTGTTTACAGAGAAATCGAATATCGCACTAGCAAGAGTTGAAAAGTAAAATAAAGATTTAGGAGAGAAAGAAGAACTCCAATTATTTAAAAGACATTCGCCGACTTCAAAAACGGTTCTATCATTAAAAAAGATAAGACAATGATTAGGTTTCGCCTCAAGTACGACAAAAATAGCCGTTAGGAACAGAAGGCGCATCCCAACGGTCCATAGACGGGGGAAGGTGACACGTGTCGGATCCCTGCCGTCGCGGAAACTGAATCGCCTCTCGTCAATTGAGTCCGAGTGGGCCATCTTTATCTTTCAATAAAAGAAAAAGGTTGGGGGACAAATGTTAAACCCAATTTCAGCAATTAATTAAAGTAGGTCCAAGCCCATGCAAGATCATCATGAGCTTGACGTCGATCAGACCCAACGAGATCGAAATGATATCCCAAAGATCGCGGAAGCAGTTAGAAGAGGAGAATGCTATAAAAGGAGAGGTAAAGTATAGCACAAGGACACGGAAAAAAACCTAGAGCATATCACTAATCACATCGACCCCACTCCATAGACTTCTAATCCGCTTATAACTTTTACTTTTCATTGTTGTTCTCGATCTTGTCACTATTTTGTATTGAATCTCATATTCAATAAAGTCTATTTTTGTCAACCGAATTCCGATTCTATCGTTGTGTTTAAGAGCATCGTTGCCCACATCATTTTGTCTTCCCCTGATTAAACTCTTGATCACTACAAAATACTTAGTGTGGATTTTAGCATCTACAATAACCATAAACTAAATCGATCTAACAACTAAGACATTATCAATTAGTAGTTGAGCAGGATATCCACCTCGTTTTTTTTGTAACACCTCGTTAACAGATGCAAAAACATACCTTTAACAGGAACATGGCCATCCATGTTGCAGTCCAGAAAATATAGTTTTGTAAGTGATGTAGCAGCATTAATAAAAGGAAAGATGCTATTGTTGAAATCATTTGCAGTGAAAGCCAGAATCTCCAGCTTTCTTAGTCTCCTTAGGCTTTTAAAACCTACAAAATCAAATCTTATTGACTAAGCATACAAATTGGAATACCTCTATCTTATATCTTCAATAAGTTAAAACTACAATTTAGTCTGCTCTTGATGCAATGAAAATGATAGTTATTACAGAGAAAAGGTTGTTTTTTGATGCATGGGAAAAATCAAGTACCATAGTTCTAAACAATATCAACTTTTAAGAATTTGAACAAAGCTATAAGACTAAAAAGGAAACACCAGGGGCAGCCTAGTATACCTTCCACGTCATCAAACAAGCCACTGAATCCATATAAGTCCAGACTTCGGACCTCTTTCAAAGGGATGCAGCAAAGAAAGATTTAGGAGAGAAATCTCTTTGGGGTATATATAACCAAAGGAAATCTCATTCACCCGTCCACTTGAACGATTGCACTTAACGTCCTCCCACAGGCAGCAATCGCTCTTTGTGTCATTGGTCCAAGTAGGGTTAACAAATGTGGATTCCTCCTCTGGAGCAACTGAGATCATGTACTTCTTGAGCTCGAACAAAGCTAACCTTTCTTTTTGAATGCAACTTTTGCATCCGTGTATCTGCCCCAGCAGTATCATCACCAAAATCAGGTTTAGACCCATGAACACCTCCCGTTCGTTGGATTGAATATTAAAACTGTTGTTTGGTGCCCAAATAGAGATATTAAGAAAATGGAACGTAGGTTTTAATGCCAAAATACCTCCATGTTTATATAAGCATTAGAACTGTTGTTTGACAATTGGAAATGCCAAGTTGCGTAAGAAAATATGTCTACAAAGTCAATATCGATAAACTTTGTCGTAGTAAGAGATGCTGACCAGTCATTCACATATGATAAAAAAAGATACACTATGATAAAAAGAGTTCGTGCCTATAGGCTATAACAATAGCTCTGTTCGTTTTGCTAACGCTGCGTTAGAGTCAACCGATCAAATGAACAAACCAAATAAAGACATTTAATCGCAGTATCAGTATAAAATTGCCGCCGGCGACTGTTACTACCTATCTTCTCCGCGTATTCGTCATCGCTGTAAAATATTAGCGAGCGTCAAATAGTATTATTTTTAACTAACCTTTGTTGACCTGGCATTCAAAATTCTTTATATTTTGTTGCCGCTCGTTGACGCTGCTTCACCCACACAAACATGGCTAATATAATATGTGAAATATGAATGACTGGTCAGCATCTTATACTATCATATGATTTTGCTTGTTAGTTGACAGATTGTAAGATACTGATGTTCACGACATTCACAGGTTATACCAAGGACTTGGTCATACATATCTATATCATTATTCTGTTTTTTTGTGTATATCATTGTTCTCTTGGCTAGGAAAATTAATTTGTTATTTGTTTCAATATATCTAATTTGTTATTTGTTTCGAGATATCTTTTTATCATAGTGTATTTTTGAGCTACACGACACATTTACCAAAAAAAAGCCCTGATCAGAGCATTCAATGAACAAAGTTGGTAAACCTTGAAAAACCACTAGACTTGAGGAAAAGACCAACAGTGACAAAGTTGCTGATAATATAGGGCAAAAACAATTGAACAGATCCTAGGGTCAGGATTCAAAAAGATAAAGAGGATGCAAGACCATGTCTCAAAAAAAAAATGCAAGACGATGACCATTGTTTTAGGCTTTTAGCGAAGCTGAGCTCATTAATTGAGTTCCCTTCGTTTAGTTCTTTTTTGTTGTGAAGTTGAAACTTTTTTAGTTTTTTTTTCTCTATTATAAGTCAAGTCAATGCTTACGACAAATTGTTTGTGTAATTACAAACTCAAAATGTGTGCTTCAATGAAATTTTCTCTAAAAAGATCTATTAAAACATACTCTTTAAGAAAAGCAAAGGTAGCGAGTGAGAATTACAGAGAAAATCATTCGTTTTGCCCAAAGGGTATTATGTATGGTAAATGGCAAAAAGAAAAGAAAGGAAGCTGGCTATTGTGTTAACCAAATCCGAATCCTTCGCTTGCTTCATGGATTGCAAGCAGCAGCCTCTCCTGCAGATGTTCCTTCGACGGGTACTCTGGCAGATCTAACTGATTGAAACTGCAAACAAGACATTTTTTTGCATATACGTTATTGATATTTGTGGCGCCATTCATCAGAGAGAATAGTTTTCATCATTCGAGGATTGAGATCTTTTTTACCAGGTATGAGCAGACGGCAAGTGATTAACGCTTCCATATGCCTTGTGGATCTGAAACTTCTGTGCCCCTGAAATCCCTTGAAGAGCACTAAATCCTTCAAGAGGAACCTGTATTGAGAGTTCAAAACGTCAGTTTCCCAATTTATTTTAAAAAAACAATCTTAATGAAACCAAACATGTTTTTTTTCTTACCTTAGAGGTTCCAGTCACAAACTGCAATAGACGGGCTTTGTCTTCTTTGCTCAAAGCCTGAACAACCTCCCAGAACCACTGGATAACAGGGGATCCAGGACTGTACCCAGAATATTCAGTATTCGCCCTCAGATTATCCACTGTTATAAAATAAATAACCCAACAAAAGGTCAGAGAAGGAAAAAAGATAATGAAATTCTTGGCACAAGATAAATAACTACTTACAGTCGATATCAGGAAGACCACTTATTAATAACTCCAGTTCCTTGTCGTTAAAGATCGATATTAGATCCTTAAGGATGAGTTCACTAAACCCTTCCAGGAATGCATTTATCTGAGGACGAATGGCTGTGGTTAATCGATGCTCAGCGATCAGGTCTACATATTCATGCTTATTCTCCTCTGTAACTTTAATGTTCCGGCCTCCAGGGATCAGTTCATGGTCAGTCACCTGCAATCGATTTTTATATTCAGAACAAATTTTATTTCAAAGACACTGTTAAAAAAAAAAAAGGCTGACGAAGTTATATAGTTTACCTCCGTCTTTTCATACAGTATTAGCTTCTCCTCATCAGCATCAACGCTAAAAGTGAGATCTAGGACATCGCTAATATCATTCTGCATACAGTAAAGAGAGCAGATGAGTAACAATGCTTTGGACCAAACAAACAAAAGCATCTACACTATACATTATAAACATACCTCCAGCATCCATTTCAGGGCTTTATAGTAATCGGGATCTATGGCTTCAATGTCATGGTACGTGACCTTAACTCCCAAGATATGCTTGTAAAAAGAACGAGTAAAATGGACGTCAAGTAGTTGACCATCAAACAGAGCTTTTCCAACCTGTGCAGCAGAGATAGAATTTTTTCAGTAATTAACGCAGCTTCACTAAGTCTATCTACTTAGGTAAAAAAAAAAGGAGCTATAAAGCTCATACCACACGACCAACGAATTTGAAGTAGGAGAGGTGCTCTGTCTGGTAAACAGAGTTTGGATTCGGTTGGAAAGTCGAGTCATTGCCAACGGTTGTGAACAAAAGAGCTCCTTTGTCAAAAATAACCCTTGACAATAGCTGATACCATTCCCTCGTAAGCCCACCAGCATCAATACCTTCTTCTCCTTGGAAGTGAACAGTCAACCTGCCTTTCAGTTCTTGCATTGACCTCATTCGCAATTGGTTGTATGAATCTTCAAGAATGTAGGCTCTTCTCACTGAGATTCTCAAAGGGCTATGGTGATGGTCATGCTGGTGTTTTATCTTTGATCTGAAGTACGCACGTTTGTTATCGAATTCAATAAAACGTGGAACCTTGAGCATTAGTGAAAACGACTTCTCAAGCAGAGCAGGGTTTTGTCGGATGAAAGCATTGAGTAGTTTCCTGTGCCTTTCAGAAAACTTGATAAAAGAACCATATTTCTCGTCCACTTTGGAGTTGGAGCTGCTGCTTGGTCCTGGACCCCCCTTGGGCTGTTCCTCAACATCAGAAGAAGCCATGGGAACCGAGGTATCATTATTACCTGAACCAGACTGTGATGATGGATGCAATTTCTCACACGTAACAAAAAACGACTCTACATAAGGCAAGATGTTTTGGGCACCAGCAGGAAGTGACTGGCTTACTCCAGCTCCCCTTGTTGCTGAACTCGAAGATGGAGACGTAGCAACAGAAGAAGAATCAGAATGCCCCTCTATTTTGCATATGCAATTGCTCAACTCCAGCCACAGAGGTTCCAAAGCCAAATTGATGTTCGATAGCTGAGAAAACACCGCAACTTGCTCTTCTGAATTGTTTTTCCCTTTTGTGATTAACGAATCAATGAGGGAACTTAATGCCTGCAAAACCCTCAATATTGCTGATCCATCCGATGTTGTGCTACTTAGAAGCGCTTTTACGGCTTCACCGAACATGTGAAGTTCACTCATCGCTGATCTTGTCAGGTTCTGAATTCCATTTGTAAGCTCAGTAATAAACAGATGACAATGGCTTGGAGCAATGGCCACAAGTTTTTTCAGCACCTCCGCTACAAGGGTGTATGCGTTATCTGACAAACTGAAAATGAACAGCATAATTAGTAACGTAAGATGTAGAGACTTAACCATTAACTGGCAGATAGAGAGTAGGAGGTGTTCACATATGTGACATACCCTTCACGTGCAAGCAATGAACAAAGCAGACACAGCTCTGACTGGGGAAGATTTAGCAACACACTGTGAACATCACATTCACTCTCTGCTCTGGTTGACGAACTTCCAGATGAGACAATTGGTTTGGTCATTGTATCAGCTGTGCCAGGTACTATATCTTGGTTTTCTGAATTGTTTTCAACTTCTAATGCTTGCTGTGTTGACTGCTGCTCGCTGGCAGACCCATCTGATCTGTCAGCAGACTCAGACTTTCGTTCAGCGTTGTCAATGATGACCTCCAGTAAGTTCAGCAGCTGGAACAAATGATGAGAAAATAATTTTCATGAAACTAAACAAAGACAAACCATAGCATTAACACCGCGTGAAATGGAGTACCTGTTCAAGATGAGCCACACTTCTCAAATATAGGGGTTGGTTCAGGAGACTAAGAAGCAACGCAAAGGCTACAGATTCCGGTTCCTGCTGCGTTCTGCCCATGTGATCATCATCACTTACTACAACAGCTTTTCCACGTGCCTTGTCTGAGGGTTCTGAACCTTGAAAGGAAGGCAGGGAAAGCCTGGACTGAAGCAGAATCTTTGCTACGTACATATGATTTCGTGCCAGATATGTCAACGTCTCAAGTACACGCCGAGACACTAGAGGAGGAACCCCTTCAAATAGAATGACAAAAATTATTTACAAAACTTCTGGCCTCGAAAAAGACATTGGTTATTATAAAAACACCCCCAGTCAGAATCCAGTTTATAAAAAAAAAAGCATACCATCGAAGTGCTGAGGACGTGAATATGTTACATTGCTTTGACAAGCATAAAGACGATAAGGTGGTTCGGAAACACTCGAAGAGTTAACAGGCTTCCTAGTGTCGAGCATCAGCATATCCATGAATCTATTAACCAAGGAAAGCCTTGTTTCGCCATGAGAACATAAATTCAGTAAAAGCCTTTGCNAAAAAAAAGCATACCATCGAAGTGCTGAGGACGTGAATATGTTACATTGCTTTGACAAGCATAAAGACGATAAGGTGGTTCGGAAACACTCGAAGAGTTAACAGGCTTCCTAGTGTCGAGCATCAGCATATCCATGAATCTATTAACCAAGGAAAGCCTTGTTTCGCCATGAGAACATAAATTCAGTAAAAGCCTTTGCAGAGGACCCTTGTAAAGAGGCTGCAGACCAAAGAAATATAAATGAATTGTCGAAGTGATGTCATTTAAATATCTAAGTAATGCATTAGGTAACTACCTGAACTATGCGAAGAACACGAATCATTCCTTGGAGTGCCTCATTGTCAACTAGGGGAGCTCCAGCGGCCTCTATAACCTTTGCAGCAGACCTACGAGAAGCAATCCCTTCATTTCCGGATATGACACCGTCACCTCGCCTGGATGCCTCCCCTCTACGAAGTCTTGAATGCGTACCAAAAAGTGCACGGTTATGGTATCGATGAGCAAACCTTTCACGCAGCATGTTTGCTTCCGCAACCAGTGCAGGTGTTAAATTTGCAAGGATAGCATCAGATGACGTCAGCAACACCTGATTACAGAAAAATAATATTAGATGAATATACTTCAACTCTACTCATGGCCATGACGTTAAAAGGCAACAACTCAATACCTCTTCTCGCAACTCGGAAGGAAACGTTGCAATTATTGAAACTGTGTCCATCTCGACGGGCTGACCTTCAAGTTCCTGAGACTGTTGAACCCGTTGTGCTTGTTGCTGTGCCAGAACTTCAGCTCGGATATCAGCAGGAAGTGCAGCAAGAAACTCAGGATCAATATCTTCAGAATTCTGCTGTTCATTGCTAGAAGGTTGTGGCGCTTGTCCTTGCTGAGATGAAAGGACTTCAGCTCGCAGTTCCTCAGGTAGGGCATCTAAAAATGCTGGATCAATAGAACTAGAATCAACATCCCTGTTAACTGGTTGTTCCTCCGGTGGATTATCCTGCTCAGCCTCCTGACCGGAGTTCTCAGAAACCTCAGTTACACTGTAGAGAGAAGCTTCTCGCCCAGCTGAAGATGGCACAAGTGGCAAATTTGCTCTTCTTGAGCGCATAGCTGGCTGTACATCATGTCTTTCTGCACCATCATCATGTCCATCAGCACTTCCGATCTCAACATCCAAACTCCTAAGGCTTTCACCAAAGGTTGCCCCACTCCCGCCGCTTTCTTGACTGACAGCTTCAACATCCCGAACAGTTGAATCATTTGGATCATATTGCATCGCGACTGGCTGAGACAGCGAGGTTGAGACAGAATCAGTAGCAGTGGCACGTGTGTCCGGGGGAGCAGATGCAACTGGCGAAACGATAGAGGGGGCAGCCACATTGGCACCTCCATTATGAGTGGCGTTTTCATTTGAAATTTCAGGTCTGATAGTAGCCTCCTGGGGCTGCTCACTCTCAGCCTGTGATTGAGGTTCCAAAAGTGATGGATTCTCATCAGAAGGATTATCAGAGCCGGGACGTCTCAACTGAGATACCAGCAAATCTTCAAGGCCTTGTGGTACGGTAGAAGCGCCAGATCCAACAATTTGCTGGCTGTCATCAGCCCATAAATTCAAACGGTTCCCCTGCCGGCCATTCCTCAAAGATCGNCACTCTCAGCCTGTGATTGAGGTTCCAAAAGTGATGGATTCTCATCAGAAGGATTATCAGAGCCGGGACGTCTCAACTGAGATACCAGCAAATCTTCAAGGCCTTGTGGTACGGTAGAAGCGCCAGATCCAACAATTTGCTGGCTGTCATCAGCCCATAAATTCAAACGGTTCCCCTGCCGGCCATTCCTCAAAGATCGGAATATAGCATCCAGTCGTGACGAAGAACTACCGTGGGAATCCCTACCTCCAACAGTAAGATCACGTATACTTTCTACAAAGTGAAGAAAACGGTCGATTAACAAACAAAACGATAAGAATAACTACCAAATCTAAAGCAAAATCATGTTCATAAAAGGCTCAAGATATATTTTAAGAAACGCATAAAATGATAAGATGGCAGAATATATAACATAACACAAAGGAAAATGAACAGAAGTACAAAAAAAAGGAGAACCTGTTTGACTTTGCGACACTGGAAGTGATGGAGATCCCGTTAAAAGAGGATGCTGTGAAGGAGTAGCACCATCCCCAGTTCTGCCAAGAAGGTTGTAAATAGAAGTTGTTCGTCCTTGACGTCTGGAGCCAAAGACTTCAACAGGCATTACATGAAGTGTTTCATCAGAAAATCTATGATCTCTAAGAACATCCAAATGATCAAGAACGTTTAGCCCATTGACTCCATCCTCAAACCTGAGAATTACCCGATCTTCACCATCTTCATCCTCTTCATCTTCTTCAACCAGTACTTCCTCTTCAAATTCATCATCGTCAAGCTCATGATCATCTTGATCAATGTCATGATGAGGTAGGTGATGTACATCATCTTCTTCCTCTTCTTCTTCCAAGTCATTGTCCTCCTCGTCTTCTTCCTCATTATCGTTCTCATCCTCACCTATTTCGTCACCCTCATCACCAGACATCTCTTCGTCTTCCTCTTCATCAGGATTTTCCTGCACGTGGGTATGCATCTCAAGTTCTATACCCATCGACCCAATCCTGTTTTCCAACCCCCTGGCATCCTCGCCGGCTTCTTGCATATAATCATCCTCACCTGCGGCAAAACGTTCATCCAAGTCTTGATCATGCTCCATGTCATCCGTCACATCCTCTGAACCAACATAGGTGTGGGAACCACCAAAATTTTCCACATGATCAGTTGTCATGGAATCATGATTCGACTGAAGCATAGTTTCCCCTGCTTCAACAGTGGTATCTCCTCTTACTGCTTGAATTTGATCAGATGAATTGTTCGCATTTTCATCCTTCGAGTTTGAATCAGCAGAACGGGCATGCTCCTTAGTCACCAACTCCAAGACTTTTAAGATGCCTGTTACAGCTTTGGGAGATTCTACATTATCCAAATCCAACACTTCAAGAGTACGAGTAAGAGACTTAACCAATCCAGCATCAACAAAAGTATTTGAAGCTTCTGAAGATATATGTGATCCAGTAGGTGACCGAGCAGAGAGCATATCACTCAGCAGATCTATTAAAATGTGTATTTCATTAACTGGAGGTCTAGGCGCATTGGAGGTATCTATAAAATCACTGAAGATACTGCTCATGTCAGAAAATATCCTCTTCCTTGATTCAGCTGATCTAAGAGATGCGCCCACTAGAAACTGATTAGCCCTACTTGCCAGCTTTTGTCGCCAATCACTCTCAGATTTCTTTTCCTTCTTCACCCTTGAGTATGGAATAAACTTGTGGAGAATATGATGAAATATTCCACCAGCTTGACCACTCTTCTGTTGAGGACCTCTAAGACTGTTAATTTCAGTATCTCTTCGAAGTATTATATGGATTGAGGAAGAATACATTAACAGCATCTCGCTCAAAAGCTTCAGAATGAAAACAACTTTAGCCAATGAAGCTGACACATCCTGTGAATTAGCTTTCTTTTCTTCAGGTGTAGTATCAACCGCTTTGCCTTTTCCCTTAGTAGAGGCAAGATCAATATCCATGTCTGCCAAAGTAGTATCCCCTTCAACCATTTCATCTTTTGAAGGAGGAATGAAATTACAGATAGAATCCAGAAGCAGCTCAACAACACAAATGAACGACTGAGGAGGTTTCCGGTGTGTTTTAGCTGCCTTGGTGTCACTTTTGTCCTTATCCTTCTCTTTGTCTTTTGATTTCTCTTTTTCTTTCACTAATACCATGTACGGTCTATCACCAACCATCTCTACTTGGCATATAGAACGAGCTGCCTCGATAAAAGTGACTGGGTCCCGAGCAATTACAGAATTCACATGCAACAAAAAATTGCGTGGAGAGATTCTCGGATTTGAGTGCCTGTTGGAAAGTGTTGCAAGTGCGTGTTTTATCTCAGATTCCATGGCTTGCTGAAGAGTTTGGGGATCTTCAAGAACATGACGGATGATACTAGCAGCAACTGAGTCAAACCCTGGAAAAAGACTACTACTCGGCAGAGAAAGCAGTCCTTGCACACCTCCAAAATCAAGAAAGCAGAGAGCAACAGAATGTTTCCTCGTCAATGTAGAACACAGCTGTAGAACAGCATGCATAGTTTCAGAAGGAAGCTGATTCCGGATACATGTGCAAGCAATCTCAATCAACTTCTTCTGATCGTCGACATCAACAAGCTGTGGAGAGCCAAAAACAGATTGCAGCTTGTCTTGCTTGCTCTCATCAATGGCCAGAGATGTCTCACCTTTTTGCAACTCCTCTATAAGCTCAGTTTTTAATTTCTGGTCCACTTGTAGCAGCCTATCAATGGCAAGAAACCCTGTCGTCACCCACTTTGGAACATTAAACTTTTCTTTATCAATACTACCAGAATCCCACTCTGACAGTACATCGCACAAAATTCTTATAACACCGGCCTTCAGCGCAACTTCGCGGGAACCTGCATCTTCATGTAGAATCAAAGCAAGAACATGTAACAGAGCAGAGAGCAGATTGCTCTTTGAGTCATCGAAGACAGGACAACAATCCTTAATCCGGCTGACAAGGTAAGATACAACACCAGATCGGTGTTCCCCATTGTTTTCTGAGCATATCAATACAAGCAAGTCTCTAACGGGAAAAGCAAGGGGTTCTTTCATCTGCAAAAGCTTCGTACATGTGGTTATCAGCTCTTCAACTGGTGGCAGTGAGACTACTTCTGCTTCAATCTGTTCTTGAGTTTCATCTACAACATTCTGCTTTGTATCTGATTCAGAATTTCCAAGGGACATTGCAAGAGCGCGAGCAAGCTCATCATCCTCTTGGATTTCTTCTGGGTGGGAAAACAGCCATTCCATAGCTAACTCAACACTGTTAGATCCAACCTGTCTCAAAGCTTCTTCGGCTCTGGATCTGGAGAACCCCATCTCCACAATTGTTGAAATGGTTGTTTCACTGGGAGGTGGACCTGTCACACGACCGCTACCATTGCCACCTAAATTTTTCAGTTCAACTCCAGAATACACATGCTTGATGATGGAAATGAGTGTAGTAACGAAATCATAACTACATTCCGTAAATAGTGGATGAGTCCAAACCGGAAGTACAGCTTTTAACACAATGGACTGCAGGATCTTCACAAATGTCTCAGCATCTTGTGGAAATGGATTATTCCCATTTTCTACTGGTTGAACGAGCAAGTGTTTTGTGAATGGTGACAAGATGAACGATGACGTGACCAAATGATCCATGAGCTTACCGTAGCTAGCCAGCGGACCATATATCCACGCATGGTCTGTATCTTCCTTCTCATCTTGCTTTCCTTTTACATCATCAGTCTCCATCAGAGATGAGTGGTTCCTATTGACTGCAAATAAAAGCTGGCTAGTAGCATCAAATGTTGTCAAAACCGTCTGAATCACCCCTCGGCCATAAAACAGGTTTATCATAACAGGATTACAGGAATCAGGCCTGTCAAGAAGGACAGCATCGATGAAGTCAACAACCTTGCCAAGGTAGCGACATTTAGTTGAACTTGATGCCTCAGCTGCAATCTCATGGCCTTCAAAATTCAAGTGATCCAGGGAGATTGAAGCAAAACTTGAGGCAACTAACTTAGATGACGCAGATACATTTATTGTATCTTCTCTCCTACGAGATTGGAGCAGCATTGCCTTCCCTAACTCTTGGAATATGTAACTGATGTGGAAGGACAATGACTTCACCATGTCACAGCATGATGTATAATAGGATCCGTCTTTTTCAAGCTCTCTGTTACCAGAAACGTCCGATGAACTAGAGGGACCATCAGTGATGGCTCGTGGTTGAAATCCAGTTGATGCACGTCCAAGATCACGGTAAAGATTTATCAAATCAAAGAATTGCGATTCTGAGCTCCATCCTGACGTTCTTCTCTGAGATGAAGGATCCAGAAACTGTCTAAAAGAACTAAATCTTTGTCCTTCTGTCCCATTTATAGACACCTCTGTTTGCTCCGACTCTGGAGAAGCATCTGGACTTTCCAGCGTTGCACTCTCGTAAACTGCTATGTGCCATAAAATTTCACGGTGCAAATGGCCTATATCCTCCAGAACATCCTTGCTTCCATTTGCAAACTCCGAAAGCAATGCAGTCATCCAACGGTTATCCTTTGATGCAGCTAGAAACAGAAGAAACTCCACAAGGAAAAGAGAAGAAAAAATTCCACAACTTGGAGAAAGTTTTCGATCAAGTAAGAATACCCCTGAGAGATCTTGCAGTCCTTGTAAAGCTTTCTTCACCTGATCCCGAAGAGAAGTGCAAAAGGCCCGAGCAAGAGAAGCAGAGTGATGTTGCGTGAATCCCTTGAAAACAATGGTGCTGTGCAAAGCAATGGATACGCCTTCAGAAGACTGAGCAATGCTAGGTCGCAAGAGAAGCTTAAGTACCGCCTCAATGCCAGACTTCTCCACAAAGAGACGAGAAGTCTCAGCATTCTCCATTGTTCTGTGGAGCAGAATTATCAGATGAAAGATGCAGAGTTGAATAAACTGCTCATAACTGACGGCATTTATGTTCTCCACATCTGAATCCATTTCCATTGCAGTACTCTCAGTCGGATTTACAGAAGATGATGAAGAACCACTCTCTCCAAAGCCTGCAATTCTATCCACAATTTCAATGATTATTTCAACACCGGTGGCTCTTAGAGATGAAACATGACGCAAAAGCTCTTCCACGGCATTTGTAAACGGAACGATGGCCTCATTCATAGCTAGAACATACTTCTTGGAAGTGAATACATCAACAAGGAAGCGCAGTGCAGAAGTTTCTTTTACCGTCTCCAACCCTTTGCTATTAAGAGATATTGCGCCCAATCCATTTGGAATGCATGCAATAGCCTTGGAAGAAGGAAGTATTCCTGATACAACTGAAGACAGAAATGCTTCCGGGAGGCCCATTTCAAACAGGGAAGTAAGAGATGTGGGGTCTTTGTGGATTAAATCACTCATAACTGTCACAGCTGAGTAGTAGATATCACCACCGAATTTATCTGCATTCCTGTATATCAAAGACAAAGTGGCAGGCAACGTACTCTCCTGAGAACTTTGAGACCTATTCGCATTTCCAGGAGTATACGTAGAAGAACCAAGAGATTTCAAAAGAACCTTGATGAGTCTCTTTCGGGAGAGCAACTGATCACCATTCGATTCCAAAGATCCACCAACTACCATATCAGTGTTGTTCTCCCCAGTCAACTTAAGAATGTGATGAACCTCTAAGTCTAACCTCTGAGACAAAAGCTCTACTCCCCCAAGATCCCTGAGTAGAGGTACGGCAGAACTACTATAGTCCATGAGCTTTTGTAGCGCTTTAACAGCCAAATATACAAGATGCAGGTGAGTCGGATCAGTATACTCCAAGAGAGGGAGAAACGTGGGAACCATTCCAGAACCCCTTATAGTGCTCCCAGATGATGATGATGAAACAATGTGAAGCAAATAAAACTGAAGTAGCGCCTCAACAAAAGCAATAGATGATGGATCACTGGAAGTCTTCAAAGACAGCACGGCTTTCTGAAGCACATTAAGAAGAATCATTCTGTTGCCTACAGCGAAACTGATGCTAGATCTGCTTAGAATCCTGGCTCGATCATGAGAGGCCGAGTATACAGCCAACTGGGCCCCCAACGCAAGCATGGCAAGAGTTTTAATGGTTCCAGGGATTGGTTCTTCAGATCTGACAATTCTTATTAATTCATTTGTATACTCGGGTTCATTTGCAAAAAAGGAAGCGAGTTCTTCTTGAGCATCACTTGACTGAACAAGCACAATAAACGCAAGTAGGCAGATCCTGCTATACAACCGGCAGATTCTGGAAGAACGAAAAGCATGAGCATATCTGAGTCGTGTCAGTAGAGAGAACCTGAGCACCGGGGGAACATTGTAACGCTCTATACACTCCTTCATTAACACTAGATCATCCTCTTTCCTCAAGTGTAAATCAGGAATCTGTATGACCCTCGAAGAAGAAGTAGCACTTGTGCCATCATCATCTACTCTCTGTCCACGCAACTCAAAATAAACGGTAGAACCAATCCGAGAAGCAGCTTCGTTGTGACTATTATCCAAGTCGGAAGGAAATAAGGTCAGACCTTCGTCTTGGTTTCTCTCGTTAGCGACAAGGCAAGAATACAAACCCAAACCTTCCTCTTTGCTGCCCCAGCCCTGGGCAAGAGAGAGGAGGAAGCTGTTGACAGAACCACATCCAATCAGCTTCCCACTCTTGTGGAGCTTAGATGAGGTGATTTTGACAAGCGCAGAAAGAGTCTCCAGGGCTGCAATGAGAACCTCTGGATCAGTGGAGGCAAGTAGGAGTTTAAAGTGCTGCAAAATAAACAAAATAAATAAGTTAATGAGGTTTGTTTGACATAGAGATCAGAAATCGTCCAAATGAATGAGGCGTATATACCTCTAAGCCATCAAAGGAACTCTTGTTGGGGCAATTTTCGAGAATGATCTGCATGACCCGAAGAATTTGAAGAACAGTGTACTTGGGGAAGGAATCCTCGTCTTGTAAGATATTGTCAGACAAGAGAAGGTCATTCCTAGTAGATAAGAAAGTGTTGAAGTACTTGTCAAAATGAAGAAAGAGAGGTCTCCAGTGATGGAAGTTCCCCTGGAATAAGAATCAATCAATCAATCAATCATGTGAGATTAAACCACGCACAAATAAATATTAGAAGAAAGGAAGCTACTACTAGTAGGTAAGGTATATATACCTTACTGTACTCCCACCGAAAACCAGAGAGAGGTAAGGCAATATCTGCGAGTGGACTCTGTATTACTTTCTCAATAAACGCTTTGATCTCCGGAGGCTGTAACAACGACAACAACAAAGATTAATTAACTGTCGATATAAGCCCTAATTAAAAATTCACTCAAACAAAGAGCTCTAATTAAAATTCAAATTTCAAGGAACTCACAGGCTCAGTGTCGAGTCTAATAGAAGGGCCGATTGATCCTTCGCCGGAAAGAAGCTGCCGCAACCGTGACGGCATACTTGCCGATCTCCGCGTCGCCATCTACAAGACAATAATCAATCTCAGAATCTTAAACGGATCAGAGGAACTAAATACGAATCTGGAAGAGTGTTACCTGTTGTGTGCAGAGGAGGTGTACGAAGAAAGTGAGAGAGACGAAGTCGAAGGAGAGAAAACCCCAGAAAGGGTGAAAGGGAGAGAGAAGAATAGTGTTTGATTTTGGTTTCGACGAAAATTATATAAACTCAACAGACCATAAGTATTTTGGCTAAGGTTTTCGTCAAAGAGTTTGTTGGGCTTTAACTACTAAAAGCCCAATTTTATTTACATATCATAACGTAATCGATTGATTAACTAAATCAAATGTAACAAATAACAATAATAATTTATTTCCTTTTTTTCAGAAAGACCACGGTAATAGTCTCCGTGGTTGGTAGCCCCATTTTTGGAAGTGTCAAATGTAATTATGACGCCTCACATCATATGAAGAAAGTCGTAATGTGGAATGGGGAAATATCAAGGGACTCACAGGTGAAGAAGCAGAGTGTACCGCCTTATTGTGGGGAAAGCAAGCGTGCTGGTCATTAGAATACACTATTGAAGGTGATAACAACATGACTACAGATGCTCTTCATGGCAAGTCCAACAATTTACATCTCCAACATTACATCAATGGAGAACTTTATTCAATCGTTGCACATTTGAATTTAGGAAACGAATGTCTAATAAGGTAGCAGATTTGTTGGCTCGACAGGTAGATTGAATGCCAACCATGAAACTATGATTTTAGGGTAAAATGATAACACAACAATCACATTAAATTCTAAACTTAAGCAAAAAAAAACAATCAGTTGAATCTAAAATTATATTCAGATTTTACACATAAAACACACAAAATAATTGGTGAACAAAAATTCTTACTAATTTTAACAGTTTGTATAGTACTCTAGCACTACAGTTTAACAGATTTTAACAGATGCAACTAGTTAAGCTAATGCATAACTTATTTGTACACTTTTTAAGAAGTCTGCAACTCTAAACATTAAAATCATATAGTTTAATTAGATAGTAATAAACTCTCATTAACTTAAAAACAACTTATCATGTTTAGTATATACAAAAACAAACATTTGTATATTAAATTTTAATTTCCAAAAAAACATTTAAGATTCTAAAATCTCGCCATGTATATATCAACATGACTTGAACATATGTTATCAAACTCTAAGCAATAGACAATTATGAATTACAATATATATTCACTTATCTATGTGAATTCCCATTTAATTTTATTAAATTTAATTTCACATGATTTAGAATTATTTATATTTACATGATTTCAATTTATTTTCTATAAATTTGTTTTAATTTTTTATAGAATAATTATAAGAGAATTATTCATATTTACATTCTTTCAATTTATTTTCTATAAAATTGTTTTTCAAATTTTATAAATTAATTATAAGATTAAATACAGAGTGAATTTCTCGTAGAAAATTTCATTGCCTCGAGAAGACTTCCCATAGTTATAACCATAAAATTGTCTACAATTTTTTCTTTACTTATCAGGGAAGAACTGTAGTTTCACTACATTTTATGTTACTTTTTCATTTGTTGAATTTAATATATGCATTTGCATTCAAATTGGACTTTTTTTTGAAAAAATTCCCAAAAATCAAACCAAACAAGTTTTAGCTAGTTTATTTTCTCACAACCCAGCTACATTGGGGGCGATTGATTGGTGGTAAAGCTTAAGGTTTTCTGCTTTCAAAATTATGTTGTATGTAATTTGGATGTGTTTTAATTTGTTTTGCTGTAGAAATATTTTCAAAGATATTGAAAGTACTAAATAAAGAGGGGACGTAGTAGTTGATCTCTTTGTAAGCAGCCATAAATATCTTACAGCCAAAAAATCTTACCAATCAAACTTTATTTTACTTTTCAAACCAACAGTCATTTTCCTTTTTTAATTATTTTGGCTGTAGATACTAGGATTGATTGGTAGCTACTGTAGTTTTGGATTTTTTTTTAAAAAAATTTAAGCTGTAGTTTTTATATCTTTATAAGCTTAAGATTATTTCAAAGATTTAAAAGTTACTAAACATGAGATTGATTGGTTAGTGCTTTGGTTGTTATAGACAGCCACAAATATTTCTACAGCCACAACATTTGACAATCAAGCTTTGAGTTGATTTTAAAACCAACATTTAAATACATGTACCGCATAAAATGTAAACTCACATTTAAATACATGTACCGCATAAAGAGTAAACTGCGACATTATGGATATTCTAACTTTTATACGTCCTATATCCCACAAGATATGACATATTTATCTCACCATCTCATGTGAAATAGAGATATTTAGGTAATAGAAGGCAAGGCACTTTGATGTCGAGAAAATATATTTTAGGTGACTGTGTGTTTTAAAAGATACATTCTCAGATTACGAATCACCAAGAAATGAACCGTCAAAACCCAACCATCCATGAAAATATCTTAAGAGAAAGAAAAAGAATTTGTATCTTCTTCCTTCGGCACAGAAATTTATCTTGATATATGACCGACATCTTAAGTTTGTAGAGCATAAAAGATAAAGATGTATGTAGAACTATGCTAAGATATGTCGGCCGTATAAAAGCGACAAAATTTGATTTGAGTTCAGTTTATGAAGAGCTTTATATGATATCCACTGAGAAGATCCCATCACATGACACATCTCTCTCTTTTTCCTTCTTCATACACAGTGGCACACAACCTTATTTTTGTTCTTTAATGTAGGTAGTTGCAGTACAATTAATGTTCTGCATATATATTGATTCATTCAAGATCTTTCTGATGATTTTTCCTTTGATATATTATATATTTGAATCAATACTGCTTCTGTTGCCTACGTACTATAATTCTGTTACGAGTTCTAAAGCTTATGAGAATAACAATAACATAAAATGCAGACGTTGAAAATCTATTTTCTTAACCCTACTGACATATAGGGGATAGTTTAAATTTGATGTGTTGGGTCGTTTTGACACTGATAATCAGGAGTATAAGCATTAATGTATCTCCTTTATATGATAAATATACTTAATTAGCCACATAAATAAAAGCCACACGTTTTCCTTCGTGTGCTTTGGTCCAAGATACCTATTCAAATCCCGACATTTATAGTGTACACTACCAAAAGTATTTGTGATTTTGGGAGGAACACTTTCTCTAAAAGGAACCAATAATCATGCCATACTCAAATATTTTTTTTCTAAAATACATGTAAATAGCACTTCATCGAGCTAGCAGTTTGGAGTTTCAACCTCGAACTACGAGCTAGTGTGGACTTAGGGAAAACTCCTTATAGAGATGCATAGTTGAAGAAATAAGTGAGCATGTGTTGTTATCTTCTAAACGGATCTGCACATATAGCATTACACAATATTTCTTGTTAAGACGCTTGAGTGTAATGCTCAAGGCTAAACGGAATGAGATAGCTGCATGGTCCGGAAAGAAAGAAAATCATTGATAAAAACAAATGTGCAACGTGACTTATAGTGTCAATTTTGACCAAAGATGAGGATGCTTGCTTGGAGAGTGGTGACGTCGGTCAATGCATATTAACAACATCCTTAAGCAAGACTAGTACTGATGTTTCCATAGTATGATGATATGTATTTATGTAGCCAAATATCGGTCAATAATGATTTCTAGAGTATGGTCAAGAATCCGACTTCGAAGTTATGATGAGGCAAGCACTCTTTGAAGCCAAGATTCATAAAACCCATTCCTATATATGGATAATACAGCAAACTTTCTAATACATCTCTAATTATTTTAATCGTAATATTGAAGAAGAATATATGAAGATCAAATGTTTTGGATTAACTCGATTTATATGTATAATTGTATTACTGTAGATGATATATGGAATCAATTTCACAAGATACTATACATAATACATCCATACTCTTGTGTAGGATGATAAAATAAGTTTCACATATAGATTACACATAACGTTCACATATACACATCATGTATCTTTAGCCGAAGCGTAAACTTGTTAACAAACATCGTTAAACCTCTTTACAAAATGCTCAATCTCAATTTCGTTTTTATTTCTAACTTAAATCATGAGATTTGTAATGTAATTTAACTTCGTTGAGACTGGCGATTGCATGGCCACTAAGAACCGGTACAACTCTAGAAGCCTGATCTCAAGACAAACCGATTCAGTTTTGAATCGGTTATTCTCTCTTAATATGGCATTACCACAACTCAACACATTAGCCAGCTGGTTTACAAGCTCCTGGTTCTTAAGCTTCAGCCGGTTTACCTCTTCGGTTAAGTCCTCAAAACGTCTCTTCTTTCTCAACCTTGATCTCTTTGCTGATTCCCGGTTTGACATCGTTCGCTTTCTCTTCCTCTCTTCAACTGGTGCTACCAACTTGTTTGAACCGCTTGGGCTATTCGACTCATCTGATTTAAGAAACGCCAAAATTTCTGTGATTTCATCTCCGGTTATGGTAGCATCATCAAAGCAGATATGAACCGACTCTAAACTGGTTGAGAACATTGTGTTTAGTGAATAAAAGATAAATCCGGTATAGAGTATAGTACTAAACCGGCTATTGGTATGATTTTTTATGTAAGTATGAGAAGAATGAAAGCAAGAGAGGGAGGGGAAGTGTCACATGAACCATGTGTGGGTATTTATAGAGAAAAATCAGTAAGTGCACATGGACCCATTTAGGGTTAGTTTGTCCACATAAGAAAGGCCAAATATTTAAAAATTAAAATGTTATAATTAGAGTGAATCTAGAGATTAATTCCAATGTTTGTCCACTAGCATTCTGGATATAGGTATTACTATTTTATTTTGTTTTTTATTTTTTTATACCTTTAATTTAGATATTGCTTTTGTATAACTTTTATCCTTTTTTCGTTACAAAACTTTCATCTTCTAATCTCTTAGCTGCTTAGCACTACTTTTGACTGTGGAGATAGGGTGTTAGTTTCACATTGTCATTTAGTGTATAACTTGCAGTTATCATCAGCAAGGGATGTTACGGATGTCACAGTGTTTTGGATCAATTTCTATAAAAGCAACACATATATATATATAAAAGATCAAATACTAGATGTCCCCTTGTCCGTAAATAACAGGTTACTAATATCTGAAAATGTATAAGCTATAATTACAGAATTATTAAGCTATGAGTCTATGACATGTATGTTTTCATCTATTCGTCATAGTAGATTTTCTTTTTTAAGTGAAAGTTATATATCTGAAGAAACGAAGATTTGGAGTTCATATTCGGCTTTTAAATTAGACTTAAGGAGAGAAAATGGTGTGTGGGTCTTTGACGAAGACGATGACTTAGCTTAATGACGAAGAATCTAAGAAAAAGCATATTAGATATTACGTTTAAGTTTTTATGTGTTTTGGATTTTCTTATCTTTTTGATAAGATAAAGTAAAGAATACAAGTGAAACTACAGCTGCATTCTCTTTATAGTGTAAGTATCAGTTTAACTTTGAATAAATAAATTAGTTATTACTAATCAACATACGTTAATATAAAAAAAAAATATGTATAAGATATAAATATATATACGTTAATATGTATAACTTTATGGTCCATTTATATTATATTTATCAAAATATTATAATAATTCTGATAAGTTGAGTAAGTATTATAATTCAGGGATCACTATGGATTATCGTAAATCCACTTGAGTAAGTATGCACATTTCAAATTAGTTTTAAATGTTTTTAAGTAAAAACAAAATTCTGATAAGTTAAGAAAGAGTAGAAAGTTGCACACTGATCTCTGATTCGTATATTTTAGAAAGTAATTATCATATGGTTACATAAGTAAAATATCATCCATGCAATATAATTAGTCTCTTGATTTAAGGGAAAATTGACAAAATAACCTTCAACTTTCGAAAATAAGCCAAAAAAATCTTCAACTCACAAGCAAGCCATTTTAATCTTCAACTTCTAGTCAAACACGAATAAATCTCATATTTTCGTTGACCAAGCCATTTTAATCTCGTCAAAATTCAACCGTTTAGTTCTGTTAGTTATATTTAACGGTTGACTTTTAATGAGCCTAAAATGGCTTGGTCAACGAAAGTATGAGATTTTTTTATTTTAATTTAAAAATTGAAGATTAAAATTGTTCACTTAAAAATATCTTAACCAAAAATTGCTATTTTTTTTATTTTTTTCAACAAAAATTGTAGTTTATCATATCGATTAGAATGACAAACTTAATAAAAATATGTTCAAATAAGCTTAGTTATAATATTTTTAAATGAATTTAAAAAAATTTAGTAAAAAAACTTGATTAAAAATACAAGTATACTGTAAATTCAGATATAAAATAAAATAATTAAGTTCTTATGTTCAAAAAAAATTTAAGAATAAAAACATAAAAGTTAAAGGTAAAACCCTAAACACATTGTTGTTAAAAGTATAATCACATATACACAATAGAGGATGAAACAAGTGAAAATGAAGAAGTCAAGTGCGTGAAAGGAATTTCCGACAGCTGATGTATAGAATTTTTTTTTTTTAATTCATTTTTAAATATTATATCTAAACTTATTTAAACATATTTTATTAAGTTAATGATTACAATCGATATGAAAAATTATATTTTTCTGTCGGAAAAATAATAAACTTTAGTTAGGATATTTTTATGTAAGCAATTTTAATCTTCAATTTTTAAATTAGGATTAAAATTCACATACTTTCGTTGACCAAGCCATTTTAGACTCATTAAAAGTCAACCGTTAAATATAACTAACAGAACTAACCGGTTGAATTTTGACGAGATTAAAATGACTTGGTCAACGAAGGTATGAGATTTATTCGTGTTTGACTAGAAGTTAAAGATTAAAATGGCTTGTTTGTGAGTTGAAGATTTTTTTGGCTTATTTTCTAAAGTTGAGGGTTATTTTGTCAATTAGTAAACTAGATTTTAGTCCGCGCAACCGCGCATGTTTTATTTCATTTTTGTGAACAGAAATATGTATATTACATTATTAGTGACTTTAGTCATATATTTAAATGTTTATAAAACTATTTTAAACATGCTAATTTTCTAGTTAACATGTTAATAACAATTGTTTCAATCGGTTCTTATTATATATTTATCTTCTTAGATTTACATTTGATTATTAAATAAACTAATATCTGCATGAAAATAATGTTTGAAATTTATTTTTTATTTAATTTATACTAAATTAGCAAAATTTTATGTTTATTTAGATAATAAACTATTGTATATATAAATTTTATATGTTAGATTTATATATGTGTTATATAGTTACTAATGTTAACATGTTCTGCGCATTATATTTTTAACATTAATATTTTCTGTTTATGAAAATAAAATAGATTAATTTATTTAATACAATTTTACTATAATAAATCTTTTTAATATGATATATTATAATTTTATAAAAGATAGATAAAAAGGAAATAATTTAATTTTTTATTTTATAAAAGATAACTAAATATATATATATATATATATATACTAATCTATAATTTATATTCTTTACTAATTCGAAATTAGTGAAATATTTACATAATTTATAAAAAAAATTAAGATCTTGTTAAATCTTTTTCAACATATATTTTTAATTTTGAATATATATATATATATATATATATATATATATTTAAAATAAAAAGATATCAAAAGGTATTATAATTAAAGTAGTTACAAATGTTTTATTATTAGACTTAATGAAATATATACAGTAAGAGTTTCTAGTGATAGTTCATTTTTTGAAAAAAATCACACATGGATCAATGTCATGACTTTTGTTTTAATATATAAGACTAGATCTCGACTTGTACAACCTTGTGGGTTTCTATATTTCTAAACTAAAATACTTTAATTTATATAACAAAATTTATCAATAACTTAATGTAATTTAGTGATATATATTATGTAATTCTATATTAGCTATGTTTATGTGACTTATATATTATTATTATTATAAATTTTGTATTTAAAAAAAAAACTATTTTGAAAATATTATTATGTACCAATACTATTTAAAACATTTTTTGAATTTAAATTTTCTATAAAAGCCAATTAGATTGGATCTATATAGTAGAGAAGAAATTTTTTGAGATGTTGTTAAAAATATAATTTGTTTTTAAAAAGAAACTATAATACATTGTATTTCAAAATAATTGTGTAGTAAATATCATAGTTAACAAACACAGGTAGCTTAAAAAAAGTTACACTAAGTTGGATAAAATATCTTCTTTTAATTTTAAGTAGAAATGAATCTTTCTAACAAAATATTTGTAAAGTACATTTTTGAAAAACAAAATTCGTTTAAATTGTTTTATCATTAAATATATAATTAACTATTTTATTTAATTTTAAAGTTTTGTATATAAATCAACTAAATTAAATTTTAATTTCTAATTATAGTTTATGAAAAATAAAGTAAAAATAAATTAAATTTTGGAAATAAATTTTAAATTTAATCTGAAAATATTTTTAAAAGATTTGTTAGAATAATATTTATTTTACTCAAATAAAATAGAAAATATTATAAATGTTATAAGTAATTCATGTTAAATTTGATAAAATCTTAAATAATAGTCCAAATTAAAAAAAACATGCATTAAAAATTGATCACTACAGTATATATATATATATATTTATATATTAAAAGAAATTTATTATAAAACCAGTATATGGTTGAATCTATAGTATCTTATTTTAAAGTATTATATATTTATCAATTCATGTTTGTTAACACAATATCTATATAAATATTGATACATGTGTAGTGTATAATATAATTAATATTAATAACATTTATCATGAAAATACAATAGTGTTAGTATTTTTAATATTTGATTTGATTTTATTATTTGCATGGTAAAATTATAAATTTATTTTATTTTCATAATGAATGTTATTATTATTATTAATCAGATCATATTAATACATGTATTAACTATAGGATAATTAAATGTTATTATTATTATTATTATTATTATTAATGAGATTATAAATGGTTATATGAAAATATAATTATATAATGATGGAATAATATATTTTCAAAATTATGCATATCTAAAATATTTTGATGGGGTGAAAATAGAATTAAACATGTTGTTAGGATTTTATTATAAAAAATACAAAAAATAATGTAAGCAACTTTCTTGGAGATGGTCCATTTAAAAAAATCACGCATAAAAAGAAGTTGTGACTTCTCTTTTATTAGATAAAATTTTCTTTTCTTTTAGTTGGTTATTTTAAATGTATTGTCAAAAGTATCTTAAATGTAAATGTAAGTTGTTAAATATAAAATTGTCCATTTACCATAAAAGAACATATTTTTATAACCGAAAATATTGAATGTTAACTCTCTATGACAAAAACATTAGAATAGAAACTCCGACTAATCTTTACAGTCCACAAACAAAATTAGGTATTAGTATGAGTAATATCTATGATGTTTATTAGTTTTCTCAAAAATAAATATCCATCATATAAATCGTGGATAATCAGTATTGAATTTGAAATCGCATTGATAGAGCTCAGATGCTAATATGTTTCACTGAGGACATGATTAACTCAGGTATTTTAGTTAGGGTTTGTAACTCATAATTTGACATTTTATTTA